TTGTGTACATCTAGAATGGTACATAAAAATGTTTCCGATTTCAGCCAGTAATACCTTAAAATAAAGGTGAAAAAATCCCTTTTTTAAAATGAAATTATTTGATTACATGTGTTTGAATTGTTGACCAAGTACACGAGTGAAATCTGAGAAAGTTTAAATGAAGTCTTATGTATCAAAGATTATATGGATATTGCCAAGTGAAAGTTTGTTCTGCCGGATCTGAAGTCATTGTCCTTGAAAACAAGAATCTGTTGGGATGGTTTGCTTCCTGCATTGTGACCGTGGTGTGCTGTAACAGCACTAATTAAACAGTCATCCACAGCCAGTGTAGTCATCTTTCAGTGACCTGGTAGAAAGAAATCTCTCATTTGCATTGTCCAAATATTTTTAGCAAGAAAGGTTTTCTTTTACCTGCCAAATAAAACATTCAACCAGGGCATGTTTCCGTGACTTGTGGAAGACAACGGAAGTCAGCACATCTGAACAGGATAGAGTTGGTACTTGCAATTCTTGAGCAAAGCCCAGTGGAGTTTATTTCTGGACCACTGGTGTTATGGACAGCATATGTTTTAGCTACAGCAAGCGTCAATGGTCTTCTTGGGGTCAATTTCAGTCAGATGTACTGTATAAGGAAAAAACTGTCATTTGATGTATGTCCAAGACCCTTACAAAAAACCTTTGCACGGCAGGATGCATGGAGTATTCTGGCATGTTTAAATGTGGATGATAGTTGCCACAAGAAGGAGCATAATGCCAGTAGAAAGACAGATTACATTGGTCTTTAGTCTTGTTTTTTTGTTTATTACAAAGTATTTTGAAGCTGCAGCAGTTACAGTATATATACTTTATATGTTTAAAATAGGGAGTGTTTTCTTTTTTTTGCTATATTGTTCAGAATTTGAATTATTTTATTTGAAGAATCTAGTCTGTTTCATATTTCATCAGTCCCATTACTTAGAAACTGGTAAATCTGCTAAAGTACATGATAGTTCATTATTAGCTTAACATGCATTTTTGAGTAATTGTAGTTTAATATTTTCTGACAGATTTTCTTAAACTCTCCAAGGATGCAAGGCATAATAGTATCCCAACGTCTGATGTAATTATTATTATTTAGTCTATGTTACGAGTTCGGTAATAGGGACCGAACTAGTGAGTGAACACACTTGCAGGAGCGAACAAAGCCAAGTCGTAAACCGAAAGCAAACCGTAATCGTAGGAACGAGCCGAGAGTCCAGGGGGAGCAAGATATCCGAAAGGGAACGTGTACCGAAGCCGAAGTGTGATCCGAAGTCGTAGTCCGTAGAGCAATCCGAGAATCCAGAGGTAGCCAGTAATCCAAGACAGAGCGAAAGTACCAATCCAAGTCGAGATCCGAAAAGCCGAAGTCCAAAGGGAAAAACCGTAAGCCGAAATCCAAGACAAACACAGAGTAGAAGAAGCGCAACCAGGAAGCTCGATAGGGAAAACCAATACTGAGCAACGAGGTAGGGAAGGACAGGTGTTTAAGTAGGATGAGACGGGGGTGTGGTGGTGAATGGGAAAACTGATAGGTGAACTGATGGATAGGGGCTACACCTACTTCTGCCTCCTCCGTTGCCGAGAGGCAGGGATCGTAACAGTCTATGAGTCCGCCATATCCACAATATCTTCATAGCCTAATCCTAATAGCTTAGATTTCTACAGTACTCTAATGTTAAAGTACTCTTAAGTACCAGTAGCCATATCACCCTGCAACTCACAACTGGCAGCCTACTGAAGCTAAGCAGGTATGAGCCTGGTCAGTACCTGGATGGGAGACCTCCTGGGAAAAACCAAGGTTGCTGCTGGAAGAGGTGTTAGTGGGGCCAGCAGGGGGCGCTCACCCTGCGGTCCATGTGGGTCCTAATGCCCCAGTATAGTGACGGGGACACTATACTGTAAACAGACGCCGTCCTTCGGATGAGACCTAAAACCGAGGTCCCGACTCTCTGTGGTCATTAAAAATCCCTCGAAAAGAGTAGGGGTATAACCCCGGTGTCCTGGCCAAATTTCCCTTACCAATCATGGCCACCTAATAATCCCCCTCTATGAATTGGCTACATTACTCTGCTCTCCTCCCCACTGATAACTGATGTGTGGTGAGCGTTCTGGCGCACTATGGCTGCCGTCGCATCATCCAGGTGGATGCTGCACATTGGTGGTGGTGGAGGGGAGTCCCCATTACCTGTAAAGCGCTTTGAGTGGAGTGTCCAGAAAAGCACTATATAAGTATAAGCAATTATTAATGCCCAGGGAAAGTCACTGTCAGCCCTTATATAAGATATCCTTGACTACGGTGTGTGCAGATAAAAATGTCTATTATGATGATGTCAGAATATTTATAAAGAGAAAATAAATGTTTGTCAGCAAATAAACTATTTGAGAGTTTATTTTGATTTTACTTACATTTACTACAATAACTGTTTTCTTTTTTGCAATGAATAATTAAAAAAAATATTTCACTTTTGTCTTTTCTAAAAACTTGTTTTTTTACTACTTTACAAAGACAAAATATTATTCTTTGTTAGGAAAACTGTGAAATAACATGGAAAACAGCATAGCAATCTATTGTATGAAATAAACATATGAAAGATGTCTGAATATAGAAAGGTACAGTATATGTACTATAGTATAACTAAGCTATACAGTGATAGCTATATAACAGTATAGTTAAAACCTCACAAAGATTCTTGATATGTCATAGAAGCTGTAGGCTGAAACAGTTATCAAGTTTGTCTTTGGGTAAGATGAGTATTTACTGGTATGTCATGGTTTTATAAAAATGGACAGAATTAAATTTAACTTGTCAAGTTAACAGAGCCAGTGACACATAGATAATATTCCTTTTACAATGTGGAGGGAAGGTATAATCGCATTTTACAACAGAAGTTGTTGCTCTTCACATTGAAACAATTGCACAGTGTCTTCAAATGTGTGCAGTTCCTTTTGCCATTTTTTGGATGTTGAAATCTGTCAAGAAGAAAGCTATTCCAAGTCTTCTTTGCAAAGAATAACATAATGTATTATGTTATTGTATTATGCATAATCATTTATCCTACTATACAGTATATCAGCTTGTATATACTGTAGCACTGTTTCTGGAAACAAAGCTACAAATTGTAAACAATAGGATTAAAACAAATCTATCTTACCCCTCTTGTTTTAAAATTCATTATTATAACCTTTTAGCAAAGTGTCAGATTGTAACTTACTATGCTTGTACTAAGGCATGGAGCTAATTTAGTATATTAGATTTCAATACAACAGATTAGATAGTAAGATATTGTAAATATGTTAGTAACATATAAGAATGACTTTGTCTTGAATTTCTTAGAATTTTTGCATATAAAGTCTAGAATTTTACATTAATCATTACTATTCAGCAATAATAGTACTGTATTTTGTTAAGTCAGAGAAAATAGGTGTTCCAAACTTACCTAGTAATATTCTGTATTAATTTCATAGATAAATGTTTTATTGTGTGAAATAAGATTGCAAATGTGACTGAGCTATTCTCGAGTGCATATCCACTTAGCTCTTGAGACATAGAAACATGATTGTTCATGTTCTGTTCCAGTCCTTATTACATTGCATTTAAAAAACCTCTCCTAGCATATGTCTTTTTCATCCCCATTGAGATAATACTAGTAAATAAAACCTACTTCAGAGGAGATTAAAAGAGAGTATTCAGAAAAGATGCACTGAAATTACACAGAAAGACAGCCGTTATCCACAAGTGCCAAAGGGATTTGGCTTAATTAATTAGTCAACTAATTGTTGATAATGAATAAAAATATTTTGTATTCGTATTTAGTAGCTAAAGATTCTTCAGTACTAGGGGTGCCCAGCCCCGTGTAATCGGGATCAGTAGATGGATACACAATATAGTAAATTGGGCTTACAAGTAGGGTGGCACTGTGGTTAACATTGCCACAGGCAGTACTGAGGTCCTGGGTTGAATTCCAGACCTGGGGTGCTATCTGCATGGAGTTTGTATGTTCTTCCCAATGTTCACATGAGTTTCCTTCAGTTTTCTTCCACAGTCCAGAAACATACTGGTACAGTAGGTTGATTGGCTTCTGGGAAATTTGGCCCTGGAGTAGGTGTATGTGTCTGTGTGCTCTGTGTGAGTTCTGTGTACTCTGGCTTGTGCCCATTATATTGCGAGAATCGGCTTCAGCTACCACACAATCCTGAATTGGATGAAGTGGTTAGAAAATGGCTGAATGAATGGGTGGGCTCTCCATTGCTGGTTGAAGCAATACCTGGCTGTGACTAAGTTTCTCTGTGCAGCAGTACAGTACACAGTTTCTTGTTCTGATATATGAGTTATAGCCATAAGCAAAGTTTCTTGATGGTGATCATTTACACATTCTTGTGAATTCTCAGAAAATGAGAAAAATAATTGCTAAACCTGGAAGCATAAAAAAATAAAACATATCAGACCAAGATATTATTTTTCTTGAAACAGGACTTTGTGGAAATGATAACCATTCATGTTCATTCCATTTTTATTGTCTGTGCATGATTGATAAAAAAGGGCACAGCAGAAACAGATCCATTCCTTAGCATTTGTGGAGGCATTCATATGCTTCTGGAGTTCTCATCTTTAATTTGTTTTTTGTTGCCTGGCAGGTTAGATTATCATGCCAAATCTTCCTAGATTTATAACAGAATGAATTATTAGTTTGACGCCAGACCAGAACATCTACAGTCTTCACCTGTCTACAGAATGTCTACATATTTGTATAGCTCCCACAATAAGAGGTTTGCAAATTTACAACAAATGTTCTCATCAAAATGGCTTTCAAAGCTATTCATTTGCAGAAGTTTGCTACAAACATACATTGTATTACTGATACTTACTGAACAGTTTAGAAATTGAATCTAGTATTTAAAGAACACTTTTCCCATTCTGAAATGTGTATCTCTCTGTCCCATATTATGCAAGACTGAGAGTAACTTAATTTCACCAACAGAAAGATGAAATCAGCCTCTCTGAGGGAAGTACAGTGGATCTCAGGAAACCAGGAGAAGAGGAGGATGAATTTTCAGAAATGGCTGAAGAGGCCATGGATCCAGAAGACTGTTTTCCTGAAAGTAAGTGGTCATGAAATACACGGTTATTCTTCACAAATGTGAAACTTGGTGGTTGAAGAGTCTTTGTTTTGCTTTTATCATGGATCCTATTACTTAGCACCTAGAAACTTTTCAATTAAATATATGGGCTGAGCTGTCTGAAAAGAATTAAGTAGTGCTCATTGATATAATTTAAAATCCCAATTGAAAATATTGTGCCATAAATTGAGAAACTTAAGATATTTCTGCAAGGAACTCTTCTCAATTTAAAATCAGGAAGCAAACAAAATGTATTCAAGTCATAATTCAAATATGATGTATTAAATATGATTTCAGTCCATATTTGCCTAACTGTATTTACTGGTCAGCACAAATTGTGTTCTAAATACATTCAGTGAATCCTTATGCTGGAATCCTGGAACCCTTTACAATTTGTCTTAGATCTGCTGTATTCCAAAAGTGCATTTTTACTGAAGAATGATAATTTGATAACATATGAAGATGGTAGGGGGGGCAACATGGAAGACCTTGACAAAAATAGTGCAAGCCTCATGAGGTTTTTACTACTCAATCTCCCCTGTTTTCTACCATCACAATGGGTTATAGCTTGGAATGGACAGAACTCAGACTGTCGATGTACTCTAGCATGAGGTTTAGGATTTGTAGGAGGTGTGTCACCTGAACTACATTCCCCAGGAGCCTGTGGAAAATGAGGTAACACCCACTGCTTGATGGAAGGAAATTGGAATACTGCATCTGCCTTTTCAGAATAGGGGGTTCAATAAAGAGCTGTGTCAATGGTAGAAGGAGCCAATTAGATTCTTCCGGTTTGAACTGTGATTTTTGATGGTGATACGGATTAAGTTTAGGCGTTATTTGGCCATAAGTGGCTTAGCTGCCAGGTTCACTAGTTAGAGACTCAAGTCATTTAGTGCTCAGCGAGAGCTAGATATTTGTTTCTGTTTTCTATCTTCAACAATGCAAATAAAATATTTTTTACCTTTAATTAACATCTATTTGTTCTTTTCCCAAGTTAGTATGGGCAGGGCAGAATGCTTTGGTGAAAGTACTTTAGAATAAAGATCAAAACCTCCTGAAGTAATGTAATCTTAATATTCCAAAAGCACTTCACTGAGCACTGAGTTTCAAACACCTAACTTTCAGCATATCACATTAATAACATCCTCTTATTATGACAGCTTGTACATACAACTGCAAGCTAATGCTGCAACTGGACTCAGTGAACTCTACGGTCTCAACAGTAAACTTGAAAATATCCATGTAGAGGCTTTTTATAGTAGCAAATAAAAATGCTACCAAGTGCTACTTTCAGCACGTTTCTTTTACTACGAGAGGAATCAATACATTGGATCACTGCTATTCCACTATTAAGGGGATGTACAGTACCACTCTGTTGCATGTCTTCACTTTTGTCTGACCACGCCTTCATACTCCTACTTCCTGTTTGCAAACAGAAGCTAAAAAGCATACTGTCTACAGCAGAAACTGTGCAGCACCAGTCAAATGTTACTGATTAACTGTTTTGAAACTACAGATCAGTGTATATTCAAAGATGCTTCCAAAGACTTTAATAAGGATACAGTGTCACTCACATATTTCATTAAATATTGTATGGATAACTGTAGTCCTACCAGAAAGATTTGGTTTTACCCAAATGAAAAACACTGGATATATAATGACATTGGCATGAGACTTGAAAACTGGACTGCTGCATTTTACTCAGGAGATAGTGAACTGTACACAAATACAGGTATAACCTAGAGAAGGCCATCAGAGAGGCAAAGAAGGAATACAAAGACAATCTAGAAACAGTTTCAATTCATGGTGCTTGTGGCAGGCATTGCAAGTGAGCTCCAACTAAGGGAATGCCAGTGAGTTCACCACCACTGACACCTCACTACCAGATAATCTGTGTAACTTTTATTCCCATTTCAAGGCTCAAAACACTGAGTCTTCTTCCATCAAGTTTGTCAGTGAATCAGGGGGGGTTCTACTACAACTCAATGAACATGATGTACCCAGGACCTCTAAGAAGGTAAAAACTTGCAAAGCAGCTGGCCTGCATGGTGTTTGTCCTCAAATCCTCAAATTTATGATCAGTTAACTCCTGTATTGACAGACATTTTTAGTCTCTCGCTCTTCCTGTCTGTCGTACCAACATGCTTCAAGAAAACCACCATAGTGCCTCTTCCCATGAAAATCTAGGCTTAGGTCCAGTGGCTCTCATTTTTGTGACCATGAAGTGCTTAGAAAAGCCAGTAATGTCTTACATCAGTTCCACTTTTCCGGTCTCCTAGATCCTCTCCAGTTTGTATATCAAACTAACAGGTCAGTGGATGATGCCATCTACCTGGGCCAGCACATTGTCCTTAATTACAGCTCAGCCTTCAATACAATTATTCTTTCAAAGCTGGTCTTGAAACTCAAAGACCCGGGCCTGTGTAACTCCATCTGCAAGTGGATACTGGATTTCCAAAAGGGCAGACCACAGGTAGTTAAGGCAAACAAAACCTCCATAGTGACTCTGCAGTCCCTCAAGGAGGCTGCCTCAGTCCTGGACTCTACTCGCTCCTCACTTATGACTGTTTCACCACTTACAGTAACAACCATATCATCAAATGTGCTGTTGATGTTGTAGTAATGGACTGATCAGCTAAAATGATGAGTCTGTATATGAGAATGTGGTTTCAGATCTGAGAAAGTGGTGTCATGATAACAACCTTACCCTGAATATCGGCAAGAAAAAAAACTCACGGTGAACTTCGGGAGACACAAAGTGAGGCACAATCTGATCAGCACTGATGAATCACCAGTGGAAGCAGCTCTTTCAGATTCCCTGGGTTGCAGATCTTGAATGACCTGGCATGGCACCAAAATACTGCACTCATTCTGAAAAAATCACGTGTGCCTCCACTTTTAGAGGCATCTGAGGAAATGTGTGTTGAGTAAGTGGATACTCTTGAGCTTTTATCATCATAAACTATAGAGAGTGTCCTGACTGGTGGCATCACCATATGGTATGACATCACACAAACACACAAGACAGGAAGGCCATACAGAGGGTGTGACATTTAAAAAAAAACGCATAGAATCTGGCTTACTGGACCATCAATTGATGAGAATTATGTCAACCCTTGCCAAAATAAAGCCTTTGCTTTTATAACCACCCTGGATACAAAATATTTTCACCTCTACAGTCTGGCAGGTATACCTCAGCACCAAAACAAAGACCACTAGGTTCAGAAACAGTTTTTATCCCTAACCGGTATATGCCTTGAATAGATCATAGCTAAATGCAAACTGGCTGACTAACTATTAGTCACCACTGCTCACTGTTGAATGTTGCATTTTTGCACTGCATACTGCACATTTTTGTTTACTATTGCATATTGTAAATATATATTGTATGTTGCATTGTATTGTGTACTGGAAGGTACTGTCTTCTGCACTACTTGTTTAGCTCTTCTATTTAATATTCTTCTATTTAATGCTATCTTCACCTGTCTTTCGAGAGAACAAGCGTTGTTAAGAATCCCACTGTACTGTTGCAGATGGCAAACAAAATCAACTTGAACTATTTGCAGAAGTGCAAATCCCATCAAGCCAAGCAAGTCAAAGCCAAGCATTGTCTTAAGCATTCATTTCATTTAACTTAATTGCATGGGTTGTTGAAGGTTATTGTATTTATTACCAGAAATAAAATAGAAGTGTTTATAAGCATAACAGATTAAATAATTAAGATTTCTATAATTTCTATTAAAGGAATATTATTGCCACTTCTTAAAATATGTAGCTGGAGAGCAAACCTGTACATACTATAGTGTTGGTGGTGAGTGCATTAGGACTGGTACCATGCACAGGCAGATGAAGGTTAAAACCGGGAAAAGGTTGTGACAGCAAAGAGCACATCAGTGCATAATTTTCTCTCATAGTAATTAGTCTGTAATCTCCTGTTGATGTTCTAAGGAATAATTTTTTCAGGTAATGTAGATAGGGTTGTTTGATAGATGAAAAACATTCATACTATTCATAACGATAAAAAGAAAAAAAATGTATCCATATCATTTGGAAAAAGAGTTAATATTCATATTATAAAACGTTTGTTGTTCATTCTGTCTTTTAAATGATATTCAAGTTTTCTTTCTTTGCCTCTTTCACCTCTACTTACTAAGTGTGCTTAAGAATTGTTTGAATGCAGAAAAACATAGTAATGGCAAATTGGTGAAATTAAAATTACTGGTGAAATCAGACAACTTTTGTTAGCCGTGATTTTGAAAATGCTGTTATTAGTAACATCATAATAATAATAATTCCTTACACTAATGTAGTGCTTTTCTGGACACTCCACTCAAAGCCCTTTACAGATAGTAGGGGCTCCTCACCACCACCACCAATGTGTAGCACCACCTGCATGATGCAAAGGCAGCCATAGTGCACCAGTATGTACTGTACACTCACCACACATCAGCTGTCAGTGGAGAGGAGAACAGAGTAATGAAGCCAATTCATAGATGGGGATTATTAGGAGGCCATGACTGGTATAGGCTTTTGGAATTTTGGCCAGGGTGCTAGGCTTACACTCCTACTCTTTTCGGGAAACGTCTTGGGATTTTTAATGACCAAAGAGAGTCAGAACCTCGGTTTTCTATCTTATCGTAATGACAGCACCTTTTTACAGTATAGTATCCCCATCACTATACTGAGACTTTAGGACCAACACAGACTGCAGGGTGATTGCCTCCTATTGGCCCCACTAACACTAACTAAAACTTCCAGCAGCAACTTCAGTTTTTCCCAGGAGGTCTCACATCCAGGTACTGGCTGTAACGAACAGTTCTTTCCGGACCCTATGCGGACGACACAATCCGACGGAGTGGGGAAACACTAGGGAAACGTCATGCAGGAATACGGGGCAGAAGACAGGGGGGCGTGTCCAAAGTGCGCTGGTGCACGGGGGAGGTGTGGCCGAGGCGAACAATCCGAGAGAGTAGTCCTTTGGGAATATCCAAAACGCAAGGGTAAGTCCAAAACCAGAAGATCCATCAGAACAAGAATTAAAAACCACGAAGGCCGGGTCGGAACCGGCAGACGGGGAACAGGAACGGGACCAGGCGCTTCCAGGTCCCGGACTCGCACGATATGGAAATCAGATGCAGAGCCCGAATGAGCGTCAGCGCCTGGCTTTTAAGGTGGGCTGGGAATAGGGAGCAGGTGCATAGAATAAAGTCTTAAGTGAAAGGGCTGGAGCACCCTTAAGGAGGGGGATCTATAATCGTGACAGTACGCCCCTCCTTTTCAGGGCGGCTCCGAAGCCCTAAGAAAAAAAGGGGAGAAAAAAAAACCCGATGGAATCCAGGCTGCCAGGGTGCCATCCACGGGGTCCAGGTGTTGGCTCTGCATTCTGTAATGAACAGTGCTTTCCGGACCCTATGCGGACGACACAATCTGACGGAGTGGGGAAACACTAGGGAAACGTCATGCAGGAAAACGGGGCAGAAGACAGGGGGGCGTGTCCAAGGTGCGCTGGTGCACGGGGGAGGTGTGACCGAGGCGAACAATCCCAGAGAGTAGTCCTTTGGGAATATCCAAAACGCAAGGGTAAGTCCAAAACCAGAAGATCCATCAGAACAAGAATTAAAAACCACGAAGGCGCCTGGCTTTTAAGGTGGGCTGGGAATAGAATAAAGTCTTAAGTGAAAGGGCTGGAGCACCCTTAAGGAGGGGGAACTATAATCGTGACACTGGCCAGGCTCACATCTGCTTAGCTTCAGTGGGTTGTCAGTTGTGAGTTGCAGGGTGATATGGCTGTTGTCATATAGGTTTTATATGAAACTTATGGGTTTTTTGGACTAATACCTTACTTCATAGAAGAATCAACATTTCAGTGAAATGTGAACCAGAGGACCCAAAATAAAAACTACAGGGAAGTACATTTGCTGCCTCACAGTGCTCAGACCCTGAGTTTAGTTCCTGTATCCTTGTCAGGATGGGCTCCAACTTGCAATCTTGTATTTGATAATTGGTTAAAAATGGATGGATTTTCCTTTTTTTCCAAACAAGTTGCAACAAGTTGAATTCAGTTATCATAGTTAAATGAAGCATTATCCTTATTAAATACTTAATAACTTGAGTATTAAATGTTGAGTATTACGTATACTTGAGTAATGAATATACTGTTTTTAATTGAGCTATATTATTAACTCAAATTTTATATCACTTAAGGTGTGCAACAAAGACCTGCTACTTAAAAACTGAAATGTTGGGGTCAGTTTCTGAAATAAACTTATTCCTTTTAGTATTTGTTTTAAAGCTGAATTTTTATTGTTTTAAATAACCCTTCAGGGCATCAATGTTTCAGTATGATAAAGCATCTGTCTTTTACCTAAAATCATACCAAACCCTTCTACCATCAATAAAACAAAAAATTAAACACTTTCATGCAGTGTATGTCAGAATTAGAGCTTGGCATTGAATTTATCATTTATTATTATAGTCCATATGTTTTTGCTTATAGAACTTTGCAAGAATGTTTTTCATAGTTTTTCCAGCAACAAGAAGTTATTTAAAAGTCTTGAAATCTAGTCTTTAATTAAACAAAAAGAAACTTGGGATGGTTCACAGCTGCAAGCCCATGTGCAAATGGATGTGAATAAAAATAATGAGTATGTGCTTCTCTGGTGTGCCTCTTAATTGCTAAGTCACAGACAGCTCTTGAGAAGGAAAAAAACATTTAAATACATCTAGTCACTATATTCCAGAGAACACTGTTTGTTTAGTCAAGAGGTTTAAAAACATTTTAAATTGTAAAACTACATAAACCCTGAGGTTACCCTATGAATTTATTCTTCAAAGCTTTGTGACGGAATCCTTATGTTCAATTAATGAATGTTGTTCCGATTACTTTGAGAATGCATTTGAAGCCTTCAAAACACTATGGGTTCACCCTTGAATAATTACATGTAATCATTCTACAAACAGAAAAAAGTTTAAATTTATACACTTTTGGCAGTAAAATATTTAATATTAACTTGTGTATCTATGTGATGTGGATGAAAATGCTTTGACTGCTATTTTCAGTAACCACATCATTCAGCAAAATCATGGTCGATTTAAAAATCTGACACAAACGTTGTAACAATCAACACTCCCAAGCTAGATAAAAGAATGCAATCAATATCTGATGGGCAAATACCACTTGTGAAAGTTTCACCTCTATACACTGACTACATCTAATATACTTGAAAATCAAATTAGACTCCAAAGATGTTATAGTTGCCGTTTAAAGAGTGATGTCTTTGGTTAGTTTCGTCGTTTGCAAAGCCAATTGCAATATTGTCAAAATGTATGTAGACAGTATGTTAAGTATGAACAATATATAGGCCTGTGTAATGTAAAGTAAGAAATGCTATTTGATACAATTATCATAAGCAACAGCATGTGTGACCCTTGCATCCCCTTAATTTCCACTTAATGGTTGTTAATCGCTTAGTAAATGTTGGCGCCAGGGTGCTAAAATGTCTGTAGCCCTTAAGAAAGTGCTTGAGCATCGTTACAAATTGAGTTGTACTTACTCTGTTACCATAATCACATTATTAGGCTCACAGGCAATAAGTTAATTTAGAGAAGCTCAAATGCCAGTAATGGAGACAGTCATATGAGCATTGCACATAATAATGTAATTTCATGGCAATGCTCCATTGTTATGAAAGTATGACAGAAAGCTTTTAAAGAGTAATTGATACTGGGGATTCTGTTTTATAACAGCCACAATCTCTTATCAACTACTGCAATGAGATTACCCAAACGCATGGATCATTAAACAGGCTAAAGCTGGATTAGGACTGAGGAGCACTGTACAGTGTTGTATGTTTTGTGTGAAATGGTTCATGCAGAAAACCTGGGGTCAGTATGCCTTCTTTTGTATGAAAACTATTCATCTTCTATTGAAAATATTACCCTCAACATGGATCAATATGAATGCATTTTACAAGAGGCTTGTTCTCTCTACTGCTGTCTGATGTTTATGAATAGTGTTCTGCAGTTCATGTTAAAATAATGCTGCAGGTTCTCGACCCATTTACTGTAATTTATTGCGTCATCTGTGATCACGCTGTACTATAGGGAAATCACCATCAAAACTATACTATGTGATTTTAAATTAAACTATCCCACTGAAAAGAGGTTGTAAATTATGATTAGTTTATTGAGGTTTTATTAACATTGTTATTTTTACCACTTTTATTTATTCATTTGTATCTGTTCTGTGATTTTTGTATGTGTATTTTTGTATGTTAAGCAATAAGAATTTTAATTAGTATAATAAATTGCTGATATAACTAAGGCCCACATTTACATGGTAATTCATTTGAAGTTAAGAATGTTTAAAATTTTTGTGTAAGTGTGTAAAACTCTCTCTCCCTGCTCCATGAACAAGTGTCAGTTGGTTATACAATTACTGATTATACATCTGACCCTTTGCTTTTACAGTACAACAACGGGAAAAAAATAAAAACACCTGCAAAAAGTAACTGTAGAACAGAAAGTAACTTTTTACAGGAATAAGTCTGTTATTCAAAACCTTGACTGATTCATTATTGTAATTTAATTATTTTAATTTGACGACATAAGCTTTGCTGTGTAGTTAACATGACATAATTCAGTTTAAATAATTATTTGAATTGTACTTTATTTCCCTGATGTAGAGAATTTATGTATAGTTTATATAGATTAATGGTACTTTATGTTAAATCCAGAAAACATATTTTGCTTAAGTAAAATGGTATTTCGTTTCACTGTATTCGTTGAACTGTATTTAACTCTTGTGAAGATGGCTTTTCTTCACAAAAAGGTCATGTCCTAGAGTTGACTTGAGAGGTACATTAATAAGTTTGGAAGCTGTTACTACACTGCTATTAAATTGTTAAATTAGTACTTTTCGAATTTAATCAAGTAAGCTAGTGAGCTGGAGAATGTGAAAAATGAACTGTTTTGCCATTGCCATTTTCCCTGGGTTCTCAGCATTATCAAAATCTGTTTGGTTTTTTTTTGTATTAGTGTGCGTGCGTCGTTTCCCATGCTGTGATATTAACACCACACAGGGAGTGGGCAGCATATGGTGGAGGCTCCGAAAAACCTGCTACCGAATTGTAGAACACAGCTGGTTTGAAACTTTTATCATTTTCATGATCCTTCTCAGCAGTGGGGCTCTGGTAAGTTGTCCTCCTGACTCTGTTTATTTTGACTGTTTAAACTCGTATCTGGCACTTTGCAGTGCATCATGCTGCACAGTTAGATGAGTCTGCCTGCATGCACATTTTCTTTTTTCAATTGCAATTAATCATTTCCAGCAGCCTAGGAAAGCTGTGCAAGTGAAGCAGATAATTTCGAAGTAATAGAGTATAATTAATTGAGTTTATTGTTATCTGGAAAAAGAGAAGGACAATTGATTGTCTAGCTATTAAAATGTGTGTCCTTTATGAGAATGTTACATGCCTGACAATCAGGGTTATTATCAGGTGTGTGTTTGTGGGGCTCATTCCATTCTGATCAGCTAACAGATTTTAAAACAGAAACTAGAGCTGTCAGGTTTTGTGTTTGTATTTGCACGCAGCAGAGAGGAATCAGGTCAAAAATTGATCAGGTTTCTTGACTATAATTTTAATTAATACCCCCCACTCAAGGGGCAAACAACAGAGCTTCATCTGCTATCAGCGCGTCATGCAGAGTTTTCCATTATACAACTATGGATTTGCCAAAAGACAGTGTCTCTCAGAGCCATATACTGTATAGTATATTATCAGTTTTCTGATATTGAAAGGTTAAGAATAATCTTTTAATGGAAAAATATATTTTACAGAGGGCATTGTAATACTAGATGTTGATTTTATATTAATACTTAGTTTAATACTTTCATTTTATGTTAGTGTTTCTGTTAAACAAAAAGTACATTTTATCTACAACATAAGGCAAATCAACTGTACCAGTCTCTTTCAATTTAAGGGCTCGAGGTAATGTTTTTAAACTCTAAGGTTAACTTTACAGGCAAAAACTACAGAATATTTGTGTCCCCTCTTTATTGATGACTTTCATTCATGAACATTAGGGGGGCAAGGATGTCAATGTTAGGGCTGCTCTCTTTAACTTCTCTAACATGGGCCCACGTAACGACTTGGCTGTTTTTGGAATGAGAAGTGTTTGGTCTTCTTTTCTTTAACACAGTTCTGTATATTTTAAAAATACTCATCACTAGCCATCTGTGACCTTCCTGGGCCGTGACACACAATTAGCCAAGTGCCAGTGGGGTTAGGGCTAGAATTAGCCATCCAGGGCAGGCTTGGATCCCTGTGTGGGAAAACTGACTCTTATTACATCCCTGCTGACTGTAATCGTGGCTCACAGTAATACCAGAGAAATGACACAAGAACATAAACAATGTTTCATACAAATCATGCCCATGCAGTCCTCTAGGACCTAATTGATCCTCAAATCCCATGCAGATATTTCTTGGAAAAAAAAAAAGATATTGGTTTTAATAGCATGGCTGGGTAATGTGCTACATACTCCCACAACCCTTTGCATAACGAAATGCCTCCTGTTTTGCTTGAAGTGCCCAAAAAACAACTCGCAGTAACATTGGTGTTTGCAAGACATTATAATTGGTAATAAAAATGTATTTTGATTTACCGAGCATTTGTTGTATGTACACTGTATGGTCACCAGATTAAACTTTAACAACACTTTAAAGTTTAATACTTTAAAGTGTTATATTCTGAAAACCTTTTCGAAACATACTTTTAATAAATCTTTGCACTATTTGTTCTTTTTACACAGGCATTTGAAGATATCAACATTGAAAAAAGGAAAGTCATTAAAGTAATTCTGGAGTATGCTGATAAGGTGTTCACTTACGTCTTTGTTCTTGAAATGCTCCTGAAATGGGTTGCATATGGCTTTAAGAAGTATTTCACCAATTACTGGTGCTGGCTCGATTTTCTTATTGTTGATGTAAGTATTTTTGTTTTTATAAGCTTTTAATGTAATTTTGTTATATATTTACTTAGACATAAAAATAATAGAAAGACAAAAGGCAGTTTGTATTTTGGGTTCTGTATGTGAGTGCTTAGTTAGCCAGTATAGAAAGGATATACAATAAATAACACCAAATAAATGAAAAGATGGAATTTCTTTTTACTTTTGATCTTGAAACTTAAAAAAATATTTTAGTTTGAATAATATGTTGAAAGTGTACATAAGTTACTAAAGATCTTTCAAGTTTGACACCCACCAATGACAGAAGAGGTAGTAAAGGTTGTTTAGTTCCATGAAAATGACAGCTAAAAAGAATGGTCTTGTTTGAAATTTTACACACGTCGTATCGTTTTCATTTTTTCATCTGACTTTTTCTTCATTTTTGGGAGCAGGAAATGCCAACAGGAAGAAAGTGTAACATTTTCAAAAGCGGCTTATGAATTCTGTCATTGGGCTGGTGCATACCCTGTAACATGATTTCTAAGTATCCATTTACTGTATAACTTTACTTTCTTAAGTGCAAAATTAAGCGAGCAAAATAAGTAAAACAAAAGCAATACAGCAATCTTATCAGTGTCCACACTATTACTACAGTTTTAATCTTCTAATGAATTGTAAAGAATTAACAGACATATATTACATTAAAGTTAAGGAGCTGTAAACTTGAATAAACTGGAATAAGAGCTGATACAATCAGAATATATATATTTAAATCCAAAAAGAAAACATGATGACTTAATTACCTACAAGTTTTGAATATATGGTTAGTTTTACTTGTGGTCCTTTGTGACAGAATTAAAATTATCAGTGTGATGTGATGGAAGTGCAGATAAAAAGTGTGGATACAATGTGTGGAAAATGGTCGAATATAAGCTCACATATTGGATGGTTTTGAGGTCTATACAATGTTTCAGAGTAAAAGCTGTTAATGTTGCAAGCAAAGCATTGTACTTTGAAAAGCTACAGAATTCCAGAATGACACCGTACAGATACAGGAATATCACGTATAGCTCAAGCATCAGAAAGTCCTACTGTAATAAACACAGAAATAATAGTAACTAATCATAAATTGCTGGGAGACTTTCTTAAAATTAATGGGTATTATTATTATTATTATTATTATTATTATTATTATTATTATTATTTGCTTTCCAGATACCGTTATCCAGGGTTACTTACAAAATCAGAATTACATAAAGGATATACAAAAATGAAAAAAATAATATGTGGTTAAGAGTAAGCAGAAATACAAATGAGGTGAAAGGATATTAAAAAAAAACAATGAGGAAGGCATATGTTAGGTACAATGCCTGTACGCAACCTAATTCAACTGAATGTAATGTCTGTTAAAGAGTAAACAACATGTGGATAAGAAATCATTGATTACAGTAAAAAGGGAATGCCATTGAACAGTGCAGTAAAATTTATGTTTAAAACTATGTTTTGTTTCAAACTTATGTGTGGATTTAATTTGAATTCTGATTTTTGAGCTTTCCAGACTATGATGCAGAAATGTCAATTATTCATATCCAAAGAATAATTATAGTTGATTGAAGAATCATATAAAGGAATACCCATACTCAAAACTGGGACCAGACCAGTGTCCCTGGCTTACTGAAAGTCCTGGTTTCTAACCAGAATTTGTCAAATGCTATCAAAGCGCTGTCTAATATTTTGCAAACAAATGCAGCATTGGTTTCAGTTGGTTAGATGTGAAGAATTTGCCTGCAGCAGTAAGGCTACTAAGTCACCTTTTTGATGTCCCTAAAAAGAAAGTGTAAATGTGGAAGTCATCTTGCATGAGCATACATTTTGTGAAATGTCATATTGGACTGATTTGAAGAACTTGACTAGAGTGAGAAATAAGAAAATGTTGCTCTATAATTTTCATTTGTCAGTGTTGTACTTGAGAAGTCAAATGAAGGAACTATACTGTATATACTGTTTGCACTTTTACCTTCTTTTTCAAAAATATTGTCAATGGTATGGTACCTCTGAAAGGTAAAAAAGTCTATGATGGATGTCATGATATGATAGATATGAAAATCCATCAAAGTTATCAATTAATTTTCTCTTTTTAAGTTTGCCTGATTGCCATTATTAAGAATACACTTTTGTCCCTTTTCTCACACAAGCATAGTTAGGACGCAAGTGATGTAAAATTAGAACAGGCTTGATATTTTAGTACTTCTCTGAAATATCAAGTCTGTCATTGACTGTGATTGTAATAACAAAATACAAAGGAACAAGAGATTGGTACTGTAGGTTTAATTCTGCTGCAGGAGCTATTCCTAAGGTTTTATCAACATTGCATCAGCAGTATCTGTATTATATCACTGTTAGACTGCAGGGCAAAAGTCCTGGGGCTTGGATTTCTCACAGGAAGAAGTCCAGTCTAATATCTCGCAAAACAGATGTAAACTTTGGCAGCACCTGAACCTGACCTATACTCTTTTAAGTATCCCAGCCTTTAAGTAGAAATAAGTAGTTGATGATAAAGTGAAATGGTATGCACATCCTACCAGTTTTAGTTTTAAACCATTTATGGAGGCCTGATTTTTTTTGCAATCCAATGAAACTCTTCCTCCTTTTCACACTCAGAACACGTAGCTTCGCTAGCTATTATTCAAATGATATATGAAAGTGTTGCAGCTTAAATGAGAGTAAATATTTACAAAGCTCTAAGTACGTATACATTCCTTTAGGTGTAAATATTTACATTATTATTCTAAAATTCTACTTTTTCCAATTGTAAGTTTTGTTTTAAGGAGATTAATTGAGTCTTAAATTTTTCTTTGCTTTGACTAATTTAGTGGAAAGTGTTGGATCAGGCAAAGAATGCTATATGAATATTTACTGTATGTTGAGGGATGGGATTTTGCTGTTGCTGTGCACTTTTCTTACAATTCTTTGTACCTCAATTAAGTGACATAGCCCAAAAACAGATGCAGGGAAATGTTTCCATGCACAAATCCTCATTTTGCTTCTTTTGATTTCACCCTGCCTTTGACTGTTGCACAGATCTCCACAGACACTGCTTTTGATAGGGTAAGTTCTAGTTAAGTTTACAGAGGTGAGTAGCACACTTCATCAATAAAAGGTTAACAACATCCATATCACAACCGCTTTTTGTGTGTCTAACTTGTAAGTGTCCAATGGAGAGATATAAAAAGCCAATGTCCCATTTTAAAGCATGCATTTAAGAAAATAAATGTGTTGGCAATATTTTCATTTTAAAAATAATGTTCAGATAAAATTATATTTGACTTTGGCTTTTATATCAAACAAAATGTACTGCCCTTTGATCCTTAGGTTATCTATAGAAGATCTGCAAATTTGTATGCTTTTCTTAAAAAAAAACCTTCTTTACTTTAATTTGAATCCATAAGCATTCCTTATTTTGTTTCTAAAGGCAAAATTATTTTTAATCTGCCACCATACTCCCTACTGTTAATCTCCACCTAAATTGATTTTTTGAGAAGTTGACAAATTATTGCTTTCACCTGAAAGCCTGATGTGTCATTTAGACTTTTGCAAATGAGGTAGCAGAGTCCCTGAGGTGAGGAATTAGGATATAGACATTCATTCAGGTTGAAACTAAAAAGAATCTAAGACACAGCACTAGATAGGAAGTTTAGATGAGTCTTTGAAGCTGATTATATTTTTTAGTCATATGCCAAATCGAGATTGTTCAAAATCTATAAATTATATTATTATATGTCTATATGAATAATAAAATTTCAATTTCAAGGCAGCCGGTGGGTGATTGCCAGAATTCATAGTACATCTGCAAAACTGTCCAGGTCACTCTGTAATTAGGTAGGATACAAAATATGAGTAGAAGAATCCCTATGCTCAAAACTGGGACCATCTGGCTTACTGGAAGTCCTGGTTCCAATTTAAATGATGGATTTCAGCAACTTAACGTTAAATCACAGGGATTCTGGACTAAGAGTTATTTGAATTTAGTAACTGACAGTGTAGAAAATAACTTTCAAAGAAGCTTTATTATTATGGATCTGCTATTGTATAACAAAATGTGAATATATAATTTTATATGTCATATTTGTTTTGTACTGTCTTACACATTGAAAACAATAACTGCAAATTAATATTGTATATCTTTTTGTTCTTTGTATATGTTCACATGATACTGAAAAGTATTAATGACATTTTTTCTAACAAGGGATTGTGAGGGATTAAAGGTATTTCTGGTACTATTTATAACAGTCTTCTCTAGATATACTGGAAGAAACCCCCTTAACTTTTATAAAGAAATCTGAATAACAACCTGTTATTAGCACAGCTGTTGGCGGGCTGTGCTCTCGATATCATACAACACCTCAACACAACTGTAGAGATGAAACTGGTCAAGTGATTGGATATGACAGATATACAAGGAAGTCAAAATTATTAAATGGGTTTTTCATATCATTCTAAATTGTAATCATGACATTATATTAAGTAATAGATTTAATATTAATAGCTCTTCAAGATTTTCAATTAGAATAGTTGCTTTGGTAAAATATGTATTTTGATCATTCTAATGGAAAAAAATGTTCTTTATAAAACATCACTTTATTTGTATATATACATAGCTATTATGTATATATAGAGGTATATGTACTATATGTATTTGGTTAAACATACATATAGACATATATGTGTATGTTTGTGTTAGTCATTCTTTTCATTTTATCTTTATTGTCTCATAGAACTGACTTCATGTTTTTAATCATGATATTCATAAAAAAGAGATACAACAATGGAAAACCTTAGCGCTCTTAGTTCGGTATGTGTGCTGAAGTTTCTATTAATGTAGACTGAGATTATCATCACAAAAGAAAAGGTGTAAGAGAAAAATAACCATGTATTATGTGAACCAATGCATTGCTGTAGAATCATGTTCCAGACCAACATGTGAAAGTCACACCTGAGATTTCAAGAAAGACACTTCTTAAATATTTGTCTTTTCTGTTTACCCAACTCATAACTCTACTTAATTTTAAAGCATTACTATTTTAGAATATTGTTAAGAGATGCCTAATATGTTGAATGTAAGAAGAAATGACAATTAAAGAATTTGTGGTATAATATACGCAATAGGTAGTCAAAAATTACTATTTGACCATTTAAGCACTGGACTTTTATTCAATGCCTGGGAATACAGGTATCTTAATAATAATAATAATAATAATAATAATAATAATAATAATAATAATAATAATAATAATAACAATAATTGCTCACACTTATATAGCGCTTTTCTGGACACTCCACTCAATTTACAGGTAATGGGGACTCTCCTCCACCACCACCAATGTGCAGCATCCACCTTGCATGAATGGCTTCTTCTATTATATATGATAGCATGCAGTGCTCTTAAAAACGTGTACAACATACTGTATATATATATAGTGCCACTTATGTCTGCTTTCTTATCTACAATATGTTTATTGGATTTGCAGAAAAAAAACGTTATAGTTCTTTACAAATTCTGCCTTTAGTCTAACATTATCCTCAAATACACATTGTTTTTAGTTAACGAATTATACTACAAATTTTCCTTAGATATCAAATGCATGACTGAAAACGTATTTACCCTGAATTACAAAGGCTAATTTTTCAATTAAACGTGTCATTCTAGTACAAACATGCAAACTTGCAAGGAGACTCCAATATAATACCAGTAAAGCACAATATCCAATATATTCACTACATTTATTATAAAACCAATAACAAAATTATGCAATATGTTTGTTATTACAGGATCTGGACTGTAAAGTTACAGAGCAGTCCATTCATGAACACAAAATAGCCCTAATATAATTTCATAGGTTTTTTAAATTTCTTTGCAGATGCATATTTTCATTATCTTTCCCTTCTGGCTTTTAAAAGGAATGACAACAGAAATGTCTTTGGAATTTTTTTTTATTTCTTGTCAGAACATCTTTATGGTGCACAGTATGTGCTTTTGGATGCTGAAATATCTGTTATTTTGATTGGATTTGCTATAAAACCTTTCACTTCAACAAACTTCAAGAAATGTGCCATCTTCCTACTGTATTTATTGCCCTGCAATCTCTTTATTTTACAGTAGTATTAATATTTATTTTACTCTTCAAAATGTCCTTTATCCATGCAATTAAAACTATAGCAACTTTATACTCAGTATTTATTCAGTATTATTTACGTAAATGCCTACTGTATAAATGGTAAATATGGGCTTTGTGAAACATTTGTAAAGATTTTATCAGGTGATTTTAAGAACTAGTGGAGACTAATCAATATGCATTGATGTACAGTTAAAGGAGTAAGTCAAACCACTTTAGTAAATGTCTTTTTTTTTTACTAGTTATTTTACTAATCATAATCAGAGGGTCATTCATAACAAAGTGCCTGCCATTCTTTATGTTATTAGGCTAGATAAGGGGGTTGAAAGCCATTCCTAATTAATTTCTCTTATTTTCTTCTAAATATTTTCCTATATAGCTCTTTAGCATTCTTTTTACACTTTTTTTCCAGGAATCTTGTGTTTGGTGCTTTGAATGTGCCTTTTTATTAATACAAACCACTTATTAGATTTAAGAACATGTTTCCCGTCTTGTCAATTAGTACTCAATTAATACTAATGAATATGCTTTGCTGAGATATATATTTTTCTCTCAACAGTTATTTCTACCTAACCTTAAACAACATAATCTCTGTAATGTCCTGAATGTGAGAATTTCTAAATGTCTAAACACCTACAGCACAGTGTGGATAGAGGATATTTTGCTTTGGCCATTACACTAATTTGAAAAAGATATTGGTGCAAATTGTGAAATTTTTCTTTTACCTTTCATTAGTTTTGAGCACGTCCCATAATCCTCAGATACTATCGGTTCCTTCGCCAGTTATAAATGAATCATGGGTTAAGTTATATAAATCTTGTGCTTCAGGTTGCGATCTGAATTAACAAATGTTCAAAGATGAAAGTCTAATTTAACATTTAAAGAGATATGGGTCGATATGACAATGTTATCACAACTACATTTCCTTCACTGAGCTAGTGCAATTGGAAGACCTACATATCCTGTGGTGGACTCAGAATAATATGAAATTTGATTTAATTTACACAGATATCTGTCCTTGGCCTCATGGTTACTGTTGTCAGTTATGACCAAATTGGCACCATGAAAGTTCTCCGGACCCTCAGGGCCCTGCGCCCTCTGCGAGCACTGTCCAGATTTGCAGGCATGAGGGTAAGGAGATCTTTGACCACAATCTGATAGATCCTTGTGAGCATTGCACTTGTTTTTAACATTCTCAAAGTTTCACAGGCCTATCAACATCGATTTACGGGAGATATATATTCTTTACAGTACGTAGTAAAAGTTGATTAAATTCCTTTTCTAGGTCGGCTTAAGACTTTCATGAAGAGATCCCAGGAAATGCACGTGCTGTAGTTGAAAATCTTGAAAATATGGGTCGCTTGCTTTTGTTTTCTTTTTTTAGCCTGTGCTTTCCTCCGAAGGACATCAAAGGGCAGATTCCGAGATCCAGATCCTGTTTCTCTCTTTATGAAACAGCATCAGCATAATTTCTTTTTTCCCCTTCACTTTCATTTTGTTCGAGTTCAAAGTGCTGAGAGGTGCCTGCTGTAAAAAAAAAAACATCAGGGTGTAAAGCAAACAGGATAACAAACCTTGTGTTCTTTCTATAGATAATTAGATCCATTCTATTGTTTTTTCTTTCCAAGACAAAACAACAGTATTGTTTTATTTTGTTTTACCCTTCCATTTACTATTTCACACAGCATCCAGATGGATTAATGACTACGAATGGTTGTCTTTCGGCAAGACATCATGCCAGAACTTTTATCCTACAACAGGTGCTATGGACCCGTAACAAAGGTTCTGGAGCTCTCCTAACAGATTGGGTTCTTGCATTTATGTCTCCATATAGGTATCTTTAATAAGCCTTATAGCTAACACGCTGGGGTACTCGGACTTTGCTGCCATCAAATCACTAAGGACCCTGAGAGCTCTCAGACCATTAAGAGCCTTGTCCAGATTTGAAGGCATGCGGGTAAGAGTTTCATCCTCTCTCTTTGTCTTCTCTCTCTCGAAAACAAGCTTTTTTCAGTAAACAAAAATGATCTGAAATGCCATATGCTGCTTTCATTTAACATTTCTTAGAGGTGCCCAGGTTTGTTGGGCACTTTTCCTGTGCTATGCTTACAGCATGCTTTGCCAGAAAACAAAATGGAGAGAAATGGCAGAAGGCTTTTTAAAGTTTAAAGCATTTTTAGTAATGTCTAGCAATCACAAAAAATTAAAGTAATGTTTCACACCAAACTTATATATGACAGAAAAGAACCAGCTGTTTTGGCGTACCACCTACTTCCAAAATTTATATTTCTTTTCCTCTTTACTGCTTTACAATTCTTTGGATTCACATTTGGGCCAGGGTCTTACATATCAGAATATGACCTCTCAGTCCTTTACTGATACAATGGTTAACATTTTTTTCTCTCAAGTACAGATTTTACCCACGCATCATAATAAATAGAACAGCCAAGCATAAGAAAGTACTGAATTAAAGAGCATTGGCTACACTTTCCAGATATTGCTACCTACAGTAAACTACTAGTTCCCTTTTACACTTTATACAAAAATATAACATATTAGTGTTAAAGTTCCCTGCTGCTGTATTCCCATTGTAGTAGAGTGCCTAATGTTATTATTAAGTATGCCATTCCTTAATATCTCACACACCTTACATCCCAATTGAACTGTCTTCTTTGAATATGACTAATGTGATAAGCATGCAGGTTAATTTATTATGACCGAAGCTTAACTATTATCAGGACATTAAAAATATTAAAACTAAGTTATGTCCATCTAGGCTAACCCAGGCTGAAACTATGAATTTGTTTAATGTAGTACATTACAATGAACTCATAAGACTGTACAATTTGCCAATGCAGATTGTACAATTTGCCATGTGTTGTCATTTGCATTTTGAGGTGTTGAATTTCTTAAGTATTACTAATTCTTGTTATCAGTATTAAACTTTCTAAATCCACAGAACACTATTCAAGTATGATAAAGAAACATTATTTTTGCAGCACTAATTTCCTTTTTTGTTGGTGAAAACTAATGCATACCAATGTGGGAAAAAATCTCACTGACAGTATTATATATTTAATTTCTACATTCAAGGCTCCAAAGTATCATAATACTGTACCAGTTCTACTGCAGTGGAGTTCATATCTGGGAAGAGCAGAATGATTAAATGTGCATCTGAAATTTCAGTCCACTCAGCTTCCAATCTGTTTCAATCTGTTTGCATTTTTTTAATCTTTCAATACTTAAGCAGCATTTTTGTTATTGGCATGACGATTATTTTGTAACAGGCATGAATACTAAGAAGCAGTAGAAACACAACAACCCGCTTGTTCTATTTTTAATGCCTTTCAGTGTACGTAAAATTTCATAAGTGATATTTTTCAGACCTAACATTTATTCACTAACACCCTCATGTTCTTGTGTTAAATATTAACTCTTCTGTATAAGCATTTTGGTGGTTTGTTTCAGAAGTTCTTCATGAAATATCTGGGCTGTAACATTTTGTGAATGTTAAAATGTAATATACAGTTTAAGCCTTTTTGTTGTTTTGTATAGAAATTTTATCGTTGTGTTTTTCATATTTAAACTGACATGCCATTTGTGATTTGAATTTCCACATTTTTTAACCCATGGATTGACACACAAAGTATAAAGTCTTGGAAAAGGCCAGATCATGTTATAGCAGTGTTTAAATTAAATGCTGTATTCACATCTGTATTTCATGCAGTCTTAAGAAACACCTGATTTCAAATTGTTGAATAGAAATTGTCAATATTCCGCAATACAGTATAGCCTTGCACTTCACAGTATGCCTTTTAAATGGTGTACTACAATTAAATATTACATTGTATCAAATGACAACCTGTCCTTCATGATTGAAAAGGTTTCAAAGACAAGGAAATATTGATTCATTATCCCACTCAAAGCAATACAAGTAATACAAAATATCCTACATATTTTTTGGGGTTAGTATCTCTCTATTTTTTGGAAGAGAACTATGTTACAACCCCTTACTGCTCCTATTCTGGCACTATCTTGGCCTTGGCTGACTATCGTTAGTCCACAAGTGCCTCAGATCAGCAGACTGCTCCAATTAGTAATTGTTTCAGTTAGATAATAATGTGCAAGGCTGGTTTGAAAACCTGAATTATGTTCTCATCTGGCACTGAAATTTTCATTAACTGTGAAGCATGAAATATCCTTTTTAGGGAAGACTTTAAAAATCAGATTGCATTCATTTAATACATCATTCTACTGGCTACATTCTTTCCTGCTCAGATTTCCTTCGCCAGTGAGAATTAAATTAGACTGTTTCAATGACCCAAGTTCATCTTTAGGAGTATGTCTAGGACAGGACTATTAATTTCACTACATTGTGTTCTGCAGACAATCAGAACAGAAGCCTAGACTCTTAACTGCTTCATTCCCTGCCTGGACCAGTATATTCTTTACACTTACACTTTCTTATCAGAATCTGAAAGCATAGGACTTTCTGTGACAGTGTTATCTAACCTTTGTCCTGGAAAGTCTTAGAAAAATCTGGGGTTTGTTTTGGGCAAGTCTAATGAAATAATGTATTTACTTTTTGCGATATATTGATCAATTTTGCATTTATTCCAGGTATTTATCTGTAATGATTTGGAGAATTCTATTAAATGAATTAAGTTGTCTTTAAAGGAACTGGATTGCCAATCTGCTATAGAACATTCACCTACAGTTTAGCAAAGTAAATAATAAAGTGAGGAATGGTGCCAGAGATTGCCTTAATCTGTGCAATGTCTAATTCTTACATTGAATTATTTTTTCTGTGACATTTATATTTAAGACTGACCAGCTTTAATTAATACTCAATTTTAATTTTTACAAATTATGTAATATTTATTGTTTCAATGTGTAAATCTAGTTTACGTCTTATAGAAAATTACAACAGTATTTTTTTTCAAAAGTTGTTAAAAAATAAATGATCTTGGTTATTAGGCTGTACGTGTTTGATGTAAGAAGTATACACAGGAATATAATGAAAGAAAATCTAGTAATACAGAGTGCTGTATTGGTAGAAAATGCATTTAATCCAGAGAACATAAGAAATGTTACAAATAAAAGGAGGCTCATAAGCCCATATAGCTTGTTCCATAGTCAATAGTTAATTGATCAGAGAATCTCATAATTCTCAAAATAAATGTCAGAGTATTGCCTTAGACAACATGGTAGATTTTGTGTAGATTTTGCCATACTCCCATATTCCTTTGCCTCATGTCTTAAGTTTTGAATACACTTCCATGCACAAGTGCTTGTGTACTCTGGCTCATGTTTCACTGTTCATTTTGAAGTTCACTGGGTCTTCATGTCAGTTCCTTTGAGAATTTCTATAACTTAAATCAGGTTCATTCATAATCTCTTTTCAAGACCAAAAAGGTTAATTGTCAGTGTGGGACATTAAGCCTAGGATGGTATCCAGCTGTTCATATATAGACAGATTTCAGAACAGGAATATTTTAAATGACCATGATATTCGACACAATTTCAAGATAACATCCTTTGAAAGTCTACACTGCTTACTAGATATATTTTAAAATTGTTTGCCTGTATTACTACTGCATTTTGTTTAGAAGATGTAAATGATGAGTCTTTGATATAAAGTATGTCTTTTTTCATAACTAGCCTCTCTGCCTCAGTGTTCCCCAATTTGTGTGTATAGGTTGTTTTTACTACCTGCAGGTTATCTTCACTTGTCTACAATAATGTATATCTGACAGGCTTGAATTTTAACTAAATTGCTTAAAAGTCACAAAAATTTCATAATCACAGTTTTGACTTTCAACCCAGAGGAACAGATAAAATGGAGGGAGTGTAGTAACGCAATCTACACATCAGCATCAAATCCCTGCCCTAGAAAACGTTATTAAAGCTGGTCAGTCACTTTGTATACACATATTTAAGTAACTGGATCTGTTATACGTGAGTGCTTATATAAAAATATAAATGGCTAAACAGCAATTGATTAAATAAATTTTCTCCATGTTTAAGACAGTCTGGTCAAATAAAACATTACCTAAAATAACAATATAACAATATCTCCTAACTACCACTGGGAAGATATTCTTATGAGCAGCAGTGTGTGTTTTGGCAGTGGCGAGTAATGTTCAGAGTCTGACATGTTACTGTTGGTTTCTTTCCTCCCCACAGGTTGTGGTAAATGCCTTGATTGGGGCCATCCCCTCCATCATGAATGTGCTACTGGTCTGTCTGATCTTCTGGTTGATTTTTAGTATAATGGGGGTGAACCTCTTTGCAGGGAAGTTTGGAAAATGTGTCAGCAAAGCAGGTTACCAGTACAATGCCTCCCACATAAACAACAGAAGTGAATGCCTAGCAATGAACAACATGACACTGTACTACTGGACCAAAGTGAAAGTTAACTTTGATAATGTCGGAGCTGGATATCTTGCCCTTTTACAAGTTGTGAGTTTTTCATCTTGTTGTAAATTGTCATTGAGATCTTTAGCATAAGTTTTTTTTTTAATTAATGATGAATTCCACTTAATTTTATTTTTAGCAGAATAGTTGGCAAAAAAAAACTTTCTAAGCCCATTCTTGTACTTAGTTAGTTGGTAGTGTATCCTAGCAACAAGTCACTTAGGTCTGTTCCATCACCTTTCCTCTGACATCACTCAATATAAGCCTTTCATTTGCATCTAGAAATAGTCAGTCACTGGTTACACACAAAAGCCTACAATTACTGATTACCAAGGAAAAGGCTAGCTGCAGTCATTTCTTCTGATGGTCCACAGACCTTGAAGTTAACTACCTCTTCCATTCCCTTTTTTGTGTTCCAAAAATAGTTTTTAAAGAGGGAGATGTGTTTGCCATTTTAGCACCTTTTATTTGTAAAAGGTAGTTTCCATGTACAAATTAATCTGTTATCTAATTCTTAGACACAAAATGTAATCTTTGTGAACTGTATTAGAGATCGTTAACTATAGAAATAGTTATACTCATATAAAATTAACATTTTCTTTCTATTTTCTTTGCCTATATTAGACTATAGACCATTTCACCCCCTGAAACAAAAGTCAGTTGTGTACAGTAGGTATATGTATGAAGTATTGTATTAAACTAAGCTTATATTGAAAGCATTGAATCATTAAAGAAGCTTAAAGTTTATGTTTAAGTTCCTCAGTAATATAAAACAATTTGTACACCTAAAAAATACTAACATAATAAATAAAATGTTATGGAAAACATCTGTGTTTTCTTAGTAAATCCAAATTTAGTTTTCCTAACGTAATTCTTTTCATGGTACTGTGAACCAGCAGATGCCCCAGAATCAGTTGCATTTCTGTATTTCACATTTCTAATCAAATTGAAAAAAGATTTACAAAAAAACAAAGAAAACATTGCTTTATTGTCTTCTTAAACCTCAAAATTCTCAGTCTGGGTAACTAATGATGTTGGAACAAGAACCACTGCATTTAAATTTGATGCGTTGAGCTGGGTTTAAGTTTGTGATAAGAGCTGGGGAGTTGGGTTAGGACTGCTGAAATATGCAAGTAGAATTACTGATAATTAACACTCATGTTTGAATGTGTGTCTTTTGCAATGTAATAAATAAAAGCTGAATGAAAGTTAGAAACAAACCTTTTTAATAAAGTAAATACAAATAATTGTTGCAATAACAAGGAAAATATGGAGAAGATATTTTGAAGGATAGAACAATCAATAAACGTTATTTTTTTGCTCCCATTTAAGGCAACTTTCAAAGGCTGGATGGAAATAATGTATGCTGCAGTGGATTCACGTGGGGTACGTACAGTAAAACACTTCTCCATTACATTTTGTTTTTCCTTTAGGGAGTCAATTGTGAAAAGTTAAACAGGGAAGAGTCAACATTTTCAGATTGATACAGACACTGTTTTCACTCTGTAACAGCCTACTGAACTGAGTCCTCTGCCTCTTATAATGATATTGATGCTTAGCTAAAATAGTTTGGTATTTTTCATGGTCATTGCTTGGGCAAAACATGGCAATTTGTTTTTATTTTATTCTCTAAAATATTTGTATTAAACTTTATGAACATTGATTATTAAGACCATTTGAAAAAAACATAATTAGAATTCACAACATTATTGGAAATCCAATCCTTTTACATACTATATTAACTACAAACACTATTTAACAAGGTTGTCCAAACAGTGTCAGCTTCAGGTTCAACAAACAACAGTTGAAAATAAAACTTTTTTTTTGTTTATTAAATATAATGGTAATAGAAATGTGTTAGTTTGTTGTCGGTGGTTCAGTTTACATATGGGGCAATGCTCATGTGATTATACACAAGCATGTTCTGAAGAAAAGCTCAAGAGAATCAGGTCTTTGGTGAAGAAAGGCAAATGAGAGCAAAAGATAAAGATAAAGCAAATCCTTATTTAGAAAACATGGATAACACATGGCTGCTTTCACTCAAAAGCCCACATTTCACTACAAAATATTTATTTTAGTATCTGTAGTCTTTTCTCTCTGCTGATCTCCAATCATTGGCTTTAAGGTTTCATTGTATACATTCTTGTGGTAGCCCAAGCCGTGAAGGACTCAATTACAGCTAACCTGCCAAAAGAAGCCATTAAAGGCCTAAGTTATTGTAAATAGACACACTGGGTGGTTATTAGTTAATTCATTAGATACATTGCACATTCCCATCTTAGGTTAATTAAGGTGTTTGTATTTTTTCTGAGATTCTCTACAATAATGTCTCCTTTGCTGTTCTTCTTATGTCCCAGTTTTTAGACCATTTGAGCTCTTAGGTTGATAGTCATGACACACACCTATATATTACCTAAAATTGACTTGGGAAAACAAGTCATGTTTGCCACAGTTAACTAACAGTCAGGCAAGGGGGATTTGTTCCACAGTTGTATTTATTATAACTGTGGTTTAAAACATTTCATTTAAACCAAATTTTCGAAGCACAGATTGCCCTGCTGTTTCTCTATATAAATGTTCTCTATATGGGGAACTCGGTCCTTCCAGTTTTATGTGAAGAAATAAAGCCTCGAAAACTCTGTATAGTTAAATTGCTAAACAAATCTTAACCTTTACTTACATGTGGGTAACCTGGAGCAAAATAGTGGAAACGTGAACAGATGTAGGTCTGTTTATATTTGTTTCAAGTAACATGTCTTGAGTAAAATTGCAACGTACATGGAAATTCCCCCAGTAAAAATCTGAAAACATAAGCAATTCCATTTGAATTAAAAAAGCATTTTTTATTTTTATTTTATGAAATCCAAAAGTCGCCTAACTTTCTTAAGAGCAATATGTTGATTCAGATTTTATTATTTATAGACAGATTTGTAGATTTATATTATATATATATGAAAGAATAATATAGTACTATATCAAATAAAATTATTGACATATTATATATTTTTATTTTTTGCATATTTAATTACACATTTAATGTAATATATAAAGTAATGTATTAGATTACTTTATATAGTATTAGTAATAAAGTCATGTATTAGAACTGCAATGATTTTTCATTGCAGGAGTTCAGTATGTTTTGCACAGGCTCACACATATTATAAGTTTAGCAGTTTTAACTGTGTTCAAAATTAAAACAGGCTTTGGGTCGGTGTCAGTTTATTATTTATAATATTTCATTGTGCACCCCCTGGTATATGAAACATCAACATAGTCAGAAACTTCAGTCACTTGCATATTTCGACCCAGCTACATACAAGGGATGTTGGTCAGCTGTTGTGGAGTTAATAGAAAGGATATATCCAAAGCACAAATGTTTTTTTTCTTTTTACTTAACAGCTAGAAGAGCAACCTATTAAAGAAAGCAACCTGTACATGTACCTCTACTTTGTCATCTTCATCATCTTTGGATCATTTTTCACGTTGAATCTCTTCATTGGTGTCATAATAGACAACTTCAACCAGCAAAAAAGGAAGATAAGTATCTGATTTTATCATGACAAACACTTGCCAATAAACATGCCTACATGTCCAGATATTTGGATTTTTGAATTAATTGAGCGCAATGAGTATTCTGTACTTTGTTTTGGATTACTTCTCTTTTATCTTCGGGATGTATTATTTTGACATTATTGCTGATATCTTTCCCCAACAATAGCATATGAGGTATTTTTATGTCTAATACGCTAGGTACTTTCATGAGGATTCATTAGAGGTAATAGAAGATTTTGCGAAGGCATTGTGTCCAGGGATTCTGTTCAGGATTGAAAAAGGTTTAGACTCTTCAGCCTGACAGCGTAAGACCCAGAACATACTGTATCTAGTTACTCTTCTCTGGACTCATACCAGGCAGAAATACTGCGTCATACTGTGATGAGCAAACTTGTACAAAATGATCAAACTAATTATACTTATACACAGTAAATTATACAATTAACACAACATCAATTTAAATTCTACAATTTTAACTACAGTATATAGTCAAACATTTTGTTTGCTATTTTATTGCTTTCCCACAGTGTCTAGAAGGAGTAAATGATGATTCAAGATAAACCTTTCTCTTCATCTCTTCTATTTTCAGTATTTCCGAACTTGTCTAGTTTACTGACTATATCACAGCCTAGATCATTGATATAAATTAAGAATAGCAGTTATACTAGTACGGATTCCATTAGTGTATCCTTTTATTACATCAGCCCCAATTTGCTGATCCACCCCTTATCTGTACACTCTGTTTTCCATTTATTAAACAGTTCCAAATCCAAATATGTACATTTCTCTGTATGACTATAGTATACAATCTAAGATCTAATATTCTGAAGGAATTAATCAAAATCTTTTAGAAAAAAATAAATATATTGTATCATATGTCCTATGTATTCCTTATCATTGTTGCATGTAACTGCAACAACTCTAACTCAAAATCATCTATTTTATTTCTAATAATTATATCCAGAACTTTGATGTAATGAAAGTGAGAATTATTTTATCAAAATTAATATGTAATTCTAAATGTAAAAAAGAAGTGCCGAAAGCAAAAAATAATGGTAAGGATTAATTTCTGTACTTAGGGGGACAAGACATCTTTATGACAGAAGAACAGAAGAAATACTATAATGCAATGAAAAAACTTGGATCCAAAAAACCTCAGAAACCAATTCCAAGGCCACTGGTAAGTAATTAAGTTTCTTTTAAGTTCTTTTCATTAGTCTTGGATGTCTTTAAAGTGACGCAACATGTAACTGTCATTGAATCCTTTAAGGGTGTTTATACTAGGAATTATATACACTATATATTATTTGATAATAAGATGAAATAGTTTGCATTTCATTCAAGACGCAACCCTGCATTTAATTATTTTCATGGCAGTGCTCAACAGTGGCTGAGCAAGTAAAGGTACTTGCTTCAAGCACAGGATGAAGTCTGTTGACATCATAGGTTTATGCCCGGGTCATGTCACTAGCTAGACATTCTGCAAGTAGTGGCAAACAAGCAGTTCACATCTGAGGGTAGGGTTGTGATTAGCTGGCCAAGGCTCCCTCAGAAGTGACTCCTGCTACTTCCCTTCGACTTACAGAGATTTTAGGGTGGCCCCTGTTGCCTCTAGGCCTCCTCTGTGTTGCCATGGAGCTTGCCACATGTCAAATACTGTGCTGGGTGTGTGCGTAGGATGGGCATGACTCCCCTTCCAATTAGATGCCTATAAAAATAAAGAAACAAAAATGTATTACTGTATTATTTCCTTCCAGTTGTTCTATATTCTTTATTCTGTATTATTTTAATAAACTTTGATTGTCTGATTTTTGCCGATGTTAACTGAAAATATCTTTACAGAGAAAAAAGCTAATATCAAATATATATATAAAATAAAATAAATAAATTAGCTTTTCCAGCAGTATAGCCTTATCATATACTCTACGATGCAATCGAGTTGAGAAAAACTGTTTTAAAAGTATTAGCTCTAGAGTTTTCAATTGCAGAATCTTTAATTATCTGTCCCATGAGAAACAAAACTGTCATATTAGCATGGTAAAAAATTGCCGGGTTTTCAGACTACTAATATTTGATATTGATCACATCACATAGAATGGAAAGAAGTACAACATTAAAACTTTCAACAACTGGAACCATGTGTTGATCTAAACCCAAATAAATGGATCCCAACTGAAATTGTTCAGATAATCAGAGCATTGATTTATTTTTTTATTCCCTCTCATACAGAACCCATTTCAAGGATTTTTTTTTGACGTTGTGTCCAAACAAGCCTTTGATATCATCATCATGATTTTGATCTGCTTGAACATGGTAACTATGATGGTGGAGACAGACGACCAGTCCAAGCGCATGGAGGACATCCTCAATAAGATCAATCTGGCATTCATTGTTATCTTCACTGGGGAGTGCTGCATTAAAATCATGGCACTTCGCTGCTACTTCTTCACTGTTGGGTGGAATATCTTTGACTTTGTAGTGGTCATCCTTTCGATTGTGGGTATGTACAACTTGGAGTCTTGAGAAGTGGAGCCCTTGCTCAATCTTGTATACAACTTTCTGGTAAATCGATAGTAAGATAAGCTGTAACATATGAATAAAAGTGTAAACAAATAAGCACTCTAAGTATTTAAGTATGCTCTAAGAGGCAAACTACAAAAAAACAAGATTACCGTTTCCTGTTAGGTGCCTCATACTATTCATACTGCTTGACCACACAAGTTATCCCTTCATACAATTTTTTAATTTTCCATATTTCCCTTCATCAGATGTTTTCTATGTGTGCATATTTGCAAATTACATTGATCTACAATTGTACATATAATAACATGACTTATAAAACATTATAATATAGTTATTATGATGGTAACATCTCCAGATAAAGCTTGGTTTTTTTTTACAATTCAAATGATACTGATCATGATAAAACTGTCTTTTCAAAACTTTGTATTTGAAAAATGTCAGTCTATACTATGAGAAAATCTCCACACTGGAAACATACCCCAAACTGAAGTTTTTATATAGAAAGGACAGGACACCTCTATCAGCATTCTACTAAAATATGGGGAAATTACATTAATATTAATCATTTGTGAACATTTGATTGATTATTTTTAATTGAAAAAAATCATATTGCAGATGACTACTCCTAGTCAGCTGTAGACTAAATTGAAGAAAGGAAGTCAGAATAGCCTTGACTAATGCCTCCTCTCTAGAATTAAAAATGAGAGAGGGGATAAATTCCAGTTTAGAATTGACTCTCCTCAGATTACAGCCTTGAAAATTAACAACCCTCACAAGAAAAAAGAGTATAGATATATATACTGTAGGTACCGGTACAGAAAAGTCTTTTTATAATTGACTTGTACTTTTTTTTCCAGGAATTGTTCTTGCTGACATAATAGAGAAATACTTTGTGTCGCCAACATTGTTCCGTGTCATCAGACTTGCACGCATCGGGCGTGTCCTTCGACTTATACGTGGAGCCAAAGGAATTCGAACTCTACTTTTTGCCTTAATGATGTCTCTTCCTGCATTATTCAACATTGGTCTTTTACTTTTTCTTGTGATGTTCATCTATGCCATCTTTGGTATGGCGAATTTTGCCTATGTGAAAAAACAGGGTGGAATTGATGACATGTTTAATTTTGAAACATTTGGTAACAGCATGATTTGTCTTTTCCAAATCACAACCTCAGCTGGCTGGGACAGTCTGCTCAGTCCCATTTTGAACAATTCCCCTGAGGAGTGTGATGCAAACAAAACCCACACTGGCACTAATGCAAAGGGAGACTGTGGGAACCCATCAGTGGGCATCACTTTTTTTGTCAGTTATATCATTATATCATTTCTTATTGTTGTGAACATGTACATAGCCATAATTCTGGAAAACTTCAGTGTAGCTACTGAGGAAAGCACAGAGCCTTTGAGTGAGGATGACTTTGAGATGTTCTATGAGGTCTGGGAAAAGTTTGATCCTGAGGCAACACAGTTTATTGAGTACGCCAAGCTCTCCGACTTTGCAGACTCTTTGGAGGAGCCACTGCGCATTGCAAAGCCCAATAAAATCAAACTCATCTCTATGGACTTGCCTATGGTTAGTGGGGACAAAATCCACTGTCTGGATATTTTGTTTGCTTTCACCAAAAGGGTTTTAGGGGAGTCAGGAGAAATGGATGCTTTGAAGCAACAAATGGAGGAGAAATTCATGATGGCCAACCCTTCCAAAATATCCTACGAACCCATTACGACTACCCTCAGACGTAAGCAAGAGGAGGTGTCTGCTGTCATAATTCAGAGAGCCTACAGGCGTCACCTTCTCCGAAGGTCAATGAGGCAAGCTTCCTTTCTGTATCGTCACATAAACAGTGATGGGAACATTGATGTGGAAGACCCTCCTGAGAAGGAAGGTCTTATAGCATCCATGATTAAGGAAAACTACGGACACGAGACAGAAATGACGGAAACATTATCCTCAACCTCTTCCCCACCATCTTACGACAGTGTAACCAGAGCTACTAGTGACATTTTCCAAGTTGTGATAAGTGACCCAAGGAACACTGATCAAAGTGAACCCTTCATACATCCTGACAGAGACAGGGAGTCATTTCTGTAACACTGGTTATGAAATGCTTTAAATCTTGTTTACCGAATGTAACATAACTACAACAACACTGATTCAATCTAGTTGTACACTTTTTAGCTGCAAAACAAAAAAGGCAGGGCTTATAGGATGATCTATTTTTTTCTTGTCCACTTTGGTGGAATACACAAAGGGACTGTGTAACTTACACAAAATCCCTTTGACCCTGCTTAATCAACTGTGCTTAATATTTATATGCATGAATGACCTCTGCAGGGTCCCAACAATTATATCACTGATGTAATAATCATTTATTAGATTGAAAAAATACAATTTATCAATATTTACGAACAATGCTTGACTGTATGCATTCATTAAAGGTCTTACTTATAATGGTGTGATTCCTTATGATAGCTTATAAAACAAAACTAACTACAACTACAGTAGTAAAATGCAACACATTATTTACACATTATAGTTCTTTTCATATAGGTACAATAATCATTGTATTTGATATTTTTCTACTTGTGACAATAGCTGTCTGTTTTTCAATGGGAACGACTAACTACACTGTTTAAAATGAATGGTTCTATCTGTAAAATTCTAAAATGACAGGTTGTATCATTTAAAATGTAGTTTTAGCTATCTTTTGGCATTATTGCACTTCTGAGTTTGCATGTATTTTTATGGGGTTGGTGCAGGAATAGAAAACAATTCAGAGGGAAGGTTACTTTTGTGCTTGTCAACACAGTATCTGACATCTGCGCTTGACAATCATACTGTACATAATCAGAAACAGGTCTAGTAATGTTTTCATTAAATGGTTAGAAAGACCAGAAATTTCTGAAAGCATCGGCACAAAGCAAAAATCCATTGGCTTCCCCTGTTGGATTAACGGCAAGTATTAAAACATATATCAGGAAGACTTTTTATGCTTTCAGAAATAATCATCCTTTATGTAAAATAATATCTCTCTGAAAAGCACATTTTGGTTACAGATCTAATGCAATTGCAATTGGAAGCTAATTAACTTCTCATTAACTAATTAACTAATTAACTTTTCAGAATAAAAGAAAGCAAAATTAATGTGCTGTCAAAGCACATGACCTGCATGAAACACTATTCTTATTTTCTATAGTGCTATTTTTTCATTACAATTGACCAAATGACTTTTAAATTCTAAATAATGGAGCGATGAACACGAAAAGATTTAAGCAAAAAAAAAGAAGTAGCTGTAATTATGAATGTTTACTGAAGGGCTTTGTAAAGTAGCAATAGCTCCATGTGTGCCTGATTGTATGAGTTCTGTATGAACATAGGTCTGTTCATTTGATTCTTTTGAAGTCGTTCAACTTTTGCTAGTTTTTCTCTTAGAGTAAAAACACCTGAGACTACACTATAGTGTTAAATTTAAATTGCAGCACACTTTATGATTTTGGGACTTGTAAGTGAATTAATTATATAAATAATATACCTTCCTGTATTGACTTGCAATTCTCTGTTTTAAAACCACCCCTCAGAGTCATTTTAGACCTAATTTAATAACAGTTACACTAAGCTGGTAAATTAAATTAAATTTACAGAAATAGAAAAATTGTAATTAAAAAGTTGGAAAATATATTGCATTTAATATTGAAAGATATTACATAGTAAATAGAGATTTTTCTTGAAAATTCTTGATTATGTAAATATGTTTTACTTCCAGTACAATTTAATTTTTTTTTTTCCACTTAGACAGAAAATCATATTTGTGGAATATACATTAGCTGTTTTATGTCAGGACAATATCTGCATAAAGTTTCATATGAGGTCTAGAAAATTGTTTTACATTCATCATTAATAGTGTTATATATAAAAACATAAAGCCTTAAATCTTCTTTAATTTTATTCTCAAGTATTTGCAAGTAAATAAATTAAGAGCGTTTCGTTTGACCAATAGAAATTGTATTAACATTTAGAGGATTTTCTTTCTTTATTCACAGTTTTTAGACACATTGGGAAAGTCTGCATCAGCCATGTCATATTTTGTGTAGCTAATGTCAGAATAATATAGAAGACCCAAGCTTATAAGAAAAGTTATTACTTCCATGCTTACAAGAAACAAAGGTGCACTGTACTGTACACTTTGAGAACACAGGGGAATGTGTTTTCCTCAGGCCTTAGTATATCTGTGTTTGCATGTTCATTCAGCTGCTAGATGTTGTACGGTGAAATTAGGGAGTGTACTCACAACACAAAATCAATGTGAAGAAACAAATGAAATAAACTAGTTATTTTTTGTACTCTACAAACCATACATACTGTTGTGCAAGAGTCTTGAGCATTTTGAATTGTTCTACACTTTTTACTCCACTGGAATGTTAAAGATTTTTAATCCTGCAAGATTTGCATTTTGCAGTTCAAACATTACCTCTCGGTTTTATGGATGTTGTTTTGTTCACCAGCTATGTACCTAAGTAGAATCAATAGAGTGAGGAGAGTGGAGCTACAGAGGAATGAGTAGAGGTTAATTCCAAACAGAAAATACATAGAAAATACCCTTTCTTTGAGTTTTTTTTAAATATCCTTTGTATTTTTCAAAGTAATATAATAATTATATGATAAGCTTAGTTTGTCTCATACAAATTAATAACAAAGTTGTTAAAATAGTACAAACACCAGTGGAGGTTTTGAGTAAGTTATCAATGTATTGTATTGTAACTCCTGATTAAGATGCCTAAGACTTTTGCACAGTCATGTTAATGGATTGTGCACATCCCAAAGTAACGATTACTTAGTGTTCCTATAATCATCTTAAATAGTAACACCTAAAATGTATTTTAGTAATTGGAAATATGGCTACTCAACATAAAGAAGCCTTTGTGATGGCACACGCAGAGCTAAACCTTCATCAGACAATACAAGAACTTTTAACTGGCTTCTAGATTTAAAATGCTTAAACTTTTATTTGTGAAGCAAACATTTGAATAAGTCACTGATGCCATTCCACATCAGTTAAGTTTTAAGCAACATTGTTGAAGGTTTATAGATATTTCTACCTAGTGTATGCCCAAAGAATATTATTTTACAATTCTTTATTTATATACAAATGGAAAACCTGGGAGAATTTATTTTAATCAATTTAAAATATAGTGTAATATTGGTCATTTTAGGTGTCATATTCAATTAAGCTAATGTAGGTTTGTCATTTAGAGTGGTTAGTTTTTATATGTTAAGCTGAATAATCACACAATTTTGCTTTAAATAAAATAAGGAGATATATTTTTTGCAAATGTTATGTAGGCTGAAGAGCCTCATTTTTGTATAGGAGTAACATAATGTCTTTTCAGTTTAGGAATGTTGAGGCCCACACAGATTCTCTATAATTAAGGTATGAAGAAAAATAAAGAACTCAACAGCAGACATACAGTAAGCTTGATCCATCTCTGCTTGGGCATATGATTATGATTATAGGAGAACAAAGTACCCAAAAGACCATTAACATGCTGAAATCTACATTCCTTATTGTAATACCACTTTCTTCACAAAATTAAAAATTGAAGTGTGAATGACAAAGTTCTGGCGAATCACTACAAAACCCAAGATGAAATAAAGCCATAAACTGCACTATTGCAAGTGCAATTGTTGCACATTTCCTGTCAACTGGCCTTAACTTTTTTAGTCTCAAAAGTAAGGGTATTTATCTTTTGTAGATCTCAATCTGAGAATCTTTTCAATATTTTCCTAGGATTTCCTTTTGTTTTTTTATCAGATGAAATTGAACCATCATGAAAGATATCACAGTTAATGAGGTTACAGTATATCTTTGGAATTCTATTCAATACCAGATCACATATTTCAGGCAAATAATATATCTAGGGTGAAAAAAAATACATAAAAATACAATTAGAATTCATAAGAAACTTTGACCATTTATTGAAAGTCTTAGTATTTTAGGAACCTCTGGTAAGGAATTAATTAAACTGGATATTTGACTACTAATAATGTAATGTTAATTGTAACCTCTCATAATTCATTGAAGACACGGTGAACTGGATTTCAGATATTCTTTTCTTTCCATTACTAATCAGTTAATTATATTTGCTTCAGGTTTAAAGAGATTTACTTTGTTTAAAATGTTTTGATTAATCATTTAACATATTTTTACCCAAGATGAAATTTTTTATTGAGGTATATGATCTGTCCATGAAATATAATCTCATTAATCAAGATATAGCTTTCTTACTATCCTTAAATATTAAAAATATTTTAATCTACTGAAGACCCCATAGTCTAAATGACTTTTTTAGCTGGACTGTCTATTTTATTAGTGTTACATATAACGTTTCAAGCGTTGCTTTTTTTGTCACCTTCTGTTTTAGTTGTCTGTTTTTCATTTTAGTCATTTCGCCAAATCTCTTTGCATGTTCTTCATATCTTGTTTATCAGTACAAGCCTGCAACTTTATTTTCTAGATTAGTATTTAGTGGTTAAACTCTTTTTGACACTGGTTTCCTATAAAAAGCACATGATATTTAATAAGAAATTTATTAAAAGACTGCAATTACCATTTAATATTTTCCTTCACACTAATGTGTCTATACAATACATTTCACATGTAACGTTCATTGTAACTCAACAGTTCTACATGCTACTACTTTTACTTTGTAGTTTTCTGAGTTTTATGAATTTCCATGCATTTTATTTCTTCCTGAATAATATTTGGAAAAAAATGAAAATCCATCTTCCATGTAATGTAAAGTTTTCAGTCTTCTAGCTTGCACAGTGTTATTGGAATTTGAGGTAATTTCAAACTGCTTCATGAAGAGGTGCGAACAATTGCCTTTAAAATCACACTGGAAAAGGGTGAAGTCACTGTAAACTAAGCATTTTTTTCTTGTATTTGGGTGTTTTATTGGTCTTTGTGGATAAAACCAAAGATCAAAAGCCCCCTTTATAGCTCACTTAAAACGGAAATAAAAACCGTGCATTTCCGGAGAGAGTGCAATTGATATTCAGGTGTTTTGTGAACTAATTTGAACCCAAAACTACATTTTTGGACAGAGTTTAATTGATACTCAGTTTTCAAATGTGCATTTCTACCAAAGAACCCCTTAGCAGCAGTTCTCAGCGTCTCCCCCAATGTTTTCCTCTCCCATTTCACCCCAACACATGTACCATGGATGTGAACAGTAGAGAGCTACAAGATAGTACAGCATCCCATGATGAAAAATGAGAGAATGTGGAGACTGTCTTTTTAGTCTTCGAGCACACACAAGGGACTAGGGATATTGAGTTTTTGATTTATAAATTCGTGACCCTGCTCTTCATCTGCTTTGAAGACGACAAAGTCTTTGTGCTATAGAGAACAATAATAATTCTGTCTTCCCCATATTTAGACCTGATGGAAGAAAGGATAAGTAAGCAGAACTTCAACTGTCTGGTACATTGCTTTAGTATTTCAAATAGTTTCTTGGTTTAACGAAGAGGAAAGGGAGGCATTTAATTTGCTCTTCTTGAAGAGATTATAGAGATTATAGAGATTGTCAGAAATGAACTGTGTAGTGTTTTGTGACTATACAGAAGCACTAAATCTTAGTTCTTGAAAGGTTAGACTTACAAATGTAATGAGAAAGCATAAAAGGATTTTTTTAAAGACTGTACATTTTAGAGAAATGGTTCAAACTATTTTAATAACGTACGACAAAGCACATCAGAATCAAAATGAGCAAATATACATTTTAAATCAGTATATTAAGATGAAGTGTATGGTAGGTAGCTGCTCTGTGTTGACTTGGGTGTAGTATTAATTACTCATACAGAACCCTCTCAATTTAGGTTCGTAATAGAATGAAACAAAAAGGAAAGACCTTTAAAAATATTTATCCAGAAATTAATATGTGGGAGATTCTGACTAAAATACACATAAAAGCTTCCTGTGGGCTCTCTTTCAAACAATTCAAACCATGCGAAAAGGAGTAATTTCCTAAGACCTTTAACACAAAATCAATTCAACCATTATTAAGGATTGTTTTGCAATTTGAACAGAATTGGATATACTAAGGGAAATGTGTATTAATAGATATTGAAAATGCTTTGATGATGTTAATGGATGTTTAAAATGTTCAATTTACCTTTGTTTAAAACAGGCAAAGCTGATGGAATAACATATTTCATGTAAGAAACACCATCAATGAGAATATTTTGGTATATTGTATTTATATCTAGTATATATGTAAAGTTTTGTATATACTTTTACTTAGAATATAAATTTATTTTTATGACCAAATTATTATTTTGTGGAGTTCTAGTCTTTACCTTTCTTTTGATCTACTCCACATTCTCAAGTTATTCTCCTGTTCATTCATGGGGATTCATGATTATACTTGCCAAGTTATGGCATAAGGTTATTTTTAATTAATTGTGAAAACACCATGGAAAATGAGAGCATTTGTATATTTTGGTTTCTGTTTAGTGGTGGTATTTTGTACAGGATCCACTGTATTTGTATTTTATTTTCTATTAAATTCCAAAACAATTACACCAGGTATCCAAATCATATATGTATGCACTGTCTACCTACAGTACCTAATTTTTAGGACATGTGTGAAAACGATGTCAACATCTGAAGCCTCTTAAATGATTTAACATTAACATGATGTAAACAACTGTCCCCCACAAGTCTCTGCCAGGTTTTGAAAGCTATGTGACATGCATGCATTAATTAAATCAAGAATTATGCCTTCTTTCGTTTCAGTAAGATTCAAGATTGTCTCCACTTCTTTTATATTCCCCTCATTATTTAGTAAAACCTAAAGAAAAAAAAACTACAGTGTTTCAGGAGATTGGGGCTACCCCAACAAAACTAATTAGGAAATGGAAGCATGGTGTGTAAGCATTATAAAACAACACTGCATGATGTTTCACTGGATTGGGGAATCTGAGTACTGTCATTTGAAATGTGATGTTTCTTTTTTTTGCTTGTAAGGGAGATTGTGGTTTTAGTTCTTTCATTGATTAGGAGATACTGTAAATTATGTTGCAAGCACACCGAGGCTGTCCCAGGCTTAAACTTTGAAAAAGCAATCCAGTAAAGGACATTTTTGAGAAAAAATATGTTTTTCAGCATGTTAATTGAATTTAAATACAACCGTCTGAATCCTTTTATGTTTTGTTTTCTGACATAAATGGTGAACATATGATGACATTGTTTTCCTAATAAAATACTGTTTAAGTTTCAGTCAGCGGAACATGCAGAACAAAACACTGAGTTCTGTTAAAGGTTGCAGATTTGGTTCTCATTTTCTCCCCTTTTCCTGTTTTTATATTTACACTAGAGCATCCTTCAGAATTCCTATTGTGTGCAAATTGTGCAAGTTGATCAAATTAACTTCTTCTGTTACATAAGGTCCAGCCTCAGTCCTTATTACTCCAACATGTCCTAATCCTAATCATGATCAACCACCATTTATTAATATTGATAAAATAATGGATACAATTGCATCACACATGAATGGCTTTCTATATTTTACAGTTCATTTTTGAAATAAAGAACATCATAAAGCATTGTGCATATTATCATTATTAAGTTAGCATTGCTGCTTTACAAATCTTGGGTACTGAGATCAGTTCCTGAAAGGGGTGGAGATTCCAAGATCTTCTTATTTCTCATTTTCCTTCTACCTTCTGAAGATATATTTGCCGGGTTAACTGGAGTCCCTAAAACTGTAGCGTACCGTAGTCCTGCCTTTCACCCTTTGCCAAGATAGACCCTAGGTTGTTGATCCCTTAACATGGATAAGTTACTTTCTAATAATGGACAGGTGGACATCTGTCCATTTAGCACCGGCTAAATAATAGTCTGGTATAACTTTGTGGGGTTGTTCGTGCTCTCATATGAAGAAGAAACATATTTTTGTTTTATATTATGGACAAGATCAGCAGTCCTGCTCTGAAGAATTGCATATCATTCCTGTTATATAAAATGGAAACCCATGATATTCAGCAGATGAATCCACAGGGGAATGGAATAGGAGAATGCATACTGCACTGATACATTTTTATAGGCCAGATATGCTCAACAGCGGTTCATGTTCACTGATTGGTAAAGCAATGGTAAAGTTATAATGCTGTCTTATTATGGGGGCAGCAACACCTATCTCACAATATTCCATAAGAATGAGAGGCCTTTCTGGAGAAATAGCTATTGATACAAAGAGAAGACCATGCTGGACAATCAGAAATATTAAGGAGAAATTAGTTTTCTCATAGTCTTCCAGATCCATAAGCCTAAAATTCCATTTAGATCCCCTTTCCAATTGCAAATTACACATACAGTAGCTAATGGTGGGTATATATTTGGCAGTAGCAATAAGAAACATGCAAGATAATTGTTGGTTTTAAGTGTGTTTTATACAATACTGTTTCCACACCTTCTAGTAATTAAGAACTTAAGAAAGGTTACATAGAAGAGGAGTCCACTAGCCCATTTGGTACTTAGTAGCTAATTGATCCAAGGATCCCATCCAGCCATTTATTGAAAATAGGCAGGGTTTCAGTTTTAGCTTGACTTGGTAGCTTGTTCCATACTCCCATAACCTTTTGGGTAAAGAAATACATACTGTTCTCAAATGTAAATGCACCTCCAAGCATTTTTCACTTGTATCCTCAGATTTGTACTACTGTTCAAAGTTGACTTTGTCAAGTGAGGATTGTAAAGGATTTTGAATAATGGACTTGGGAAAGGTTTGGGTCTTTTTGTCTGTCACTGTAGGGCATTTCATTTGTCCCTGAAATGTACAAACATATTTCAGAGCAGAGCAACAATACCTCTCTGTGCAGTGTAAGTAAGTTCTGACAAAATGGAGATCTTCATGTGAATGATGTGGAGTATTACCTGACCAACTGGGAGAAGTCAAATGGTAAGGTGATAATTTCAAAACAAGGAAGAGAAGGCTTTCAGCTGTTGGGCTGTTCTGCTTTCTGGGGACAGAGTGTAGATCTAGATCCTCTGTTGTGCAAATCCACCAGAGAAAAGGATGTGACTGACCAACGAACAGAAGAACCTGTAGGGCAGCGTCACACGGAGAAAAATTCCAACCAGGAGAGCTAGTTTAGACGCTGTAGACAGTAACATCACGTCAACTCATCTCCCTGTTGCCATGGAAACCAATTAACTTGAGACTTGGAGCACCCAGAGATGGTTTATGACCATGCCCAATCCAGGTGTTTCTCAAGATAAATGCTCAGGTCTGACAGAGCTCGGGGCTCTGTTATTGTGTTTCGAGTCTGAGCCCCTTGAGTCTTGTTCCTGAGTTTTAACTCTGAGCCCATCAAATCTTAGTCCCTGTGCAATCCTAGTTTTTTTTCTCCAGCTGTGTTTTGTTTTGATTACTGACTTTTGCTTGCTTTGTACCTCATCTCTCGGATCACCACTCAGCTTTGTTTTACTCCAGTGTGTATCTCAGCCTGGACCCTGGCTTGTGTCAAAGAAAACTCTTCACTCAGGTTCGGTGTGGTTCAGCAGTCCTTTATTCACGTGCATGGAGAGGATACAATCATGTGGATATGAGAGCAGCCTCTGATGACGGTGTCAAAGGCAAAGTTTTTTTATACAGCAAGTTCTTGTTAGCATAGCTCATTCTATATTTCCATATTAGGAGTTGTTTTCTCAGACATACTGTATACTTCCCTGTGTAGGGGTTTTGTGAATTTACTGGGACAATTTATTAATTGTAGCAGCAGTCATGAGGTGGTTAGTTATGGCTTTTAGAAAATCGATCAGATCACATACACGGATTCAATAAATGAGATACATTAATTAATACATAAAATGTGCATAAAACATATAACAGTCTGCCTGGATACAGGTGGCAGATCTTACTGTGAAGGTTATCAAAGTGCAAGGTATATAATCATGAAGAGATGCAAAACACAAAGAGATACAAACAAAGAATATGTTTCAGTATACCGTTCATTTATACTATTCTATATCAGTCTACATTAGCTACTCAAAAGTAAATACATTACTTGTTATTGAACATTGGGTTTACTTATCCAGATATGGATTCGTATTTCCCGGCACGGACACCAAGACCAGCTAGCAGCTGCGTACAATCGCTGCGGCGTTCAATAAGCGCCGTCCCAACGTCCTCTGGCTCCTAGCCAACCAGGCAGGGTGCAGCTCAGAGTCGGACGAATTAGGAGGAGAGATTTCTGCTGTGGTGACGCCGACAGTGTCTATATCAGGGACCTACTAGTAGTCCGGCTGACTAGTAGAAAGTCTCTATGCACAGAGGGTGACCGTGGGTCCAAGCAAGTCACTCTTTAGGGGGAAGAAACTCAGTTTTCTTCCGGTGTAGTGCTGTTGCTGAATAAAAACGTATTCAGGTTGTTGACAAGAATCCAAACGTATGCTCCGGTGATCAAGCGAAGCGTCCACGTTGTCACTGGCTAGAGATTTACGTACGGGCATTCCCTGGGCCGACACTTTGCTGAAACAAGGTTTCAGTCTCTATACAGACAACACTGGCTGTCACGTGATTGTCTCTGAGTGTGTGAAAATTGGCCGGAGAAGCAAAGTTTCTGAGCTCTGTAGTGTCTTTTAAACCAGGACCAAGACAGGTGGTGACTGGTCGAAAGTTTAGCAGGCATTTCAGACCCACGTGTGATCCAGGCCTTGCAGGTTCCTGATTGGTTGGTCAAGGTGAGAGATGAGTAACAATGACCTCTGACATCTTGGACCGCAATCCAGATGTTTTCAAGAATCTCACAGACAGATAGGCGCCCGGAATGGCTGGGTGCATCCCCATTTGGGAGCTGCTCCTTATCTGAGAGAAAACACCCTAAATCAGAAATGAATGAATAGCTTCTCTGTGGCTGCACCACAGAGATGAGAAAGAGAGATGGGGTCTCATTTAGGAAAACACAGCAACATTTTGTCTTATTAATAAGCATTGCCACTACAACTGTGACTGGCCACTTCATTATAAAGAAATTAGATTATACCTTTATTTGGACTAAAGGAGGTAAACAAATAGACCTAGTGATGTTCAGCTAGACATCTGCGGTTATAGCGTTCATGTCAGCAGATCAGGTGAAGTGCCTGCAATTTATTCTTTCATACTGTCGCTAGATAGAAAAGGCATGTTAGCAAGGACAAATAGTTACTATCTCGTACACATAAAAATGCTCAAATTCTTCCTCACTTGCTCTGACCTTGTCTCCCAGATTTCCCATTTACTAAGTTTAGCTTTCACCAGCTTTGTCTCCTGTCTGCTTGACCATGATCGTGGACTGTGCTCTCGCGCCGGTTTCCTAACCTGCCACATCACACCACCTCTCTGTGAACACAGCAGCGCATCCCTGTGTCCCAAGCTGGGTACACCGCCATGTAACCTGAGTGCTTAACTCACCTTCTTGCACTTTTCCCTTTGTGCATACAATGCTAAGTCCATCTTCATGTGAGCACAGTTCGGTGCAAATTTCATTTAAAGCTTCTGTAGCGTTTGCTCCAATTTTGACATCTTCTGCAAGCATGACTATTTTACAAAACAAAATCTATATAAATGACACAGGAGGATCAATGGTCCCAATAACATAACAAAATAGTTTGTGGTACTGTAGGTAGTGGGACTGTTGTTCATATGAGTTAGCCAGTAGCCTCTAGCAACAAATGTTTTGATTCAGTGTGGGCCTGAGTGTCATTTACAAACCAGCATGTGGCTCAGAAATGGCTTTCTGTGTCATTTGAATGTAAGCCCCTATATGACAACTCTGTGATTTGTGTAAACCCAGAATCATTCGAAAAAAAATGTATTCCACAGGAGTGAAAAGCAAAGAAATATGTTTTGCACATCACATTTTTCTTTCTGGTAAATTCTGGATATCTTTATCCACTACATTCACTAGGAATTTAGAAGGGTGTCAGCTATCACTGGTCCCTGAAAACTTTGCCGATGGGTATTTTCAAATTTCCATATTAGGTGAATCAACTTGACGTAAATTTTTATTAAATCCACAAATCAAATCAGAAATCATCTTGCATGTTACATTTTTTTTTTACTTCTTAATATTTTGAAGTTTAAAACTATGAATTTTCTATTGTATTGCTGTTTATAAATTAATATGTCATCCTAATATGCACGGCACTGAGAATTGATCCTTCATTCTTCATTGAGTGAAGGTGAACAAACCAACTATAGACCATTTAATCATGTCTATTATTATATTCATTTATTTCAATTCAGAGCTGACTTGAAAATACTGTTCAGTGAGTTAACCTGAGTTCATCTGGCCGTCTTATTTTTCATACCCTCTTCAAAGCAGTATCCACTGTGTTGAACGTCTGCTTTTTGGTTTCTCATAACCTACAATTGCCTTTTAAAGATAACGGTGGCAAATAAAGCTTAAATAATTTCCAAATGTCATCTATGACAATCACAGTCCTAAAACAAAAACATTCAAAGCATTAAAATACAAAGCATTTCAGACATTCTCTTTACAGTATGTTATTTGTAGCAGGTAATTCATTGCCTATCCAGGGAGTACAATACATAC